GTGTTCCATATAATGAATCAATATGTAGTGGCTGATGAATATGTATAACGTGTGTTTGTGTTGGACTTTTTACCACGTGTGTAAAAAAATGTTTTCTCTGTGACTTAGGTTGCCTTTAACGATTTGTGTTGTTGAAGTGTCGGTGCTATATAAATGATTTACTGTCATTATTATTATTTATTTTCTATGGTGACGTGTGCAATTCTAGGCGGTTTAATTATGCTCAGGTATTGGCATTTCCTCTTAATTGTCATCGAATACCAACAACAATAGGAAAGGAGCTCGGTTGTTGGTCCCATCTGATGGGACTTGACAACATTCTTGTCATCGCCGTACGTGCTACGATCGACAAGCTGTGTCTTTACCCAGCCACAACTATCCCCCAGCATAATTGTGTGACTTTAACACACAAAATAACAGCAAGTGAATATAAGCTTAATCACACATGCTGTGGCAACCATATCTCACATCACCTGTAAAAATAATCAAAAAGAAAATATGATCAAATATAATAATAAGATTCAGATCGATATTCCGATGAGAAGATGATTAGTGTATAGATTATTGGATATATTAATAATTCATCAAATGCAAATTTGACATTCTGATTAGAGTATAAGTTGACATATTCTATAAGAATAGATTATTTACATCTTGTTGATTGTCAATAGACCAAAATAGTTATATTGACAATAAAACATCTACTTCTAACACTGCTAAATAGTTGATTAGTTTACTTACACTGCTAAATAATTGACTAGTTTTCTACAACCCCCCCCCCCCCCCCCTGCAAAAAGTTTCGTTCCCCCTGTTAAAAATTTCGACCATAAAAAATAGATACACCGTATACATAATTGTCCGTCAATATTACAGCACCCCTGAGAACACTTCCCGCCACCCCCCCCCCCCCCATGTTGCTCTGAGCTATTTGCGGCCCTGGTTTTCTTACACTGATAAGATGGTTGAATAATTTTTCTTTCTAACACTGCTAAATAGTTCACCAGTTTTCTAGCACTGCTAAATGGTTGACTAGTTTTCTAACACAGCTAAATCGTTGACTAGTTTTCTAACGCTGCTAAATAGTTTACTAGTTTTCTAACACTGCGAAATAGTTGACTAGTGTTCTAACACTGATAATAGTTGACTAGTTTTCTAACACTGCTAATAGTTGACTAGTTTTCTAACACTGCTAATAGTTGATTGGTTTTCTAACACTGCTAAATAGTTGACTAATTGTCTAACACTGCTAAATAGTTGTCTAGTTAATATTAGTTTATATTGACTATATGATAAATAATCGTCTAGTTTTCTAACATGGATAAATAGTCGACTAGTTTTCCATTATCGGTATCCCCGGTGGTTGCATCCCGTTCTAATTCACTATACACTGCGAACCAATCAAAAATAGTTTACAATCCAGTCTTAGTACCATTGTTTAGGTTCACAACAATATGCCGAGATCAACCTGGCACACTATAATCCAGCACACTGTAAGGATTTTACTATAAGCTGACACGCTATAAGAAATTAGCTGGACGACCGTGACTACAACGAAATCGGTATGGATAATCCGAGCTTTCGAAAAAAAAGGCAAGTTTAAAATATGTTCTAATTTTAGTACAATGACTTACATCGCATGTTAGTCCTAAAATCTTGTTGTGGGGCTGTTTACCCTTTGTTGTTGTCTCGTCGTACTAAAATTTGTTTCACTGGAGAGTGATATTTGAAGTTTTCATGCACCGTTTTACGGACTAAAAGTTCCCCGTGCAAATTACTCACAGATGTTTTTTCTACTAATTCATATCGTGTATTTTTATAGTGTTTTTTGTTTGTTTACCTGTAATTGGAAACATCAATGAACAACCGACAAACCTACAAGCCTACCAGTCAATAAAACCCCCAAATTGATTTTTATATATAGCCAGGAGCCATATTTCTTTATTTTTGTATTATTGTAGTTACAAACCACTGAAGTAGATAAAAACTCAGGGTTTTTTAATAGAGAGAATTTCCCTACAGGCAGTGGGATATTGACTTCTCGAAATCGGTTTCGTGCCGTGATTAAATTGAAATTCTGCTTTTGGGAAGACGCGGGGTGGTGGAGGGATTGGGTCATACCCACTTTGAGACGTCAATAGGCTTTTTGACGTTGTTGTATCGAATAAGAGTAATAGCTATTGATCACCCAATAATACATTCTACAGTAGATATCGCTTGTGTGATAAATTTCATAATCTACTGCGATAACTCCTTTGATTAGTCAGTTAAAAAGGAACTACTTTTTTTATTTTCAAACAACAGTTCACTTTTTATTAAAAGTATGTTTTTTAAAAGGAACTATTTTTATTTAATTGACATTGAAGGAAACACTGGGTCAATATAAAGGGTTATGCAATGGTTGAATTGGTGTTTAAAAATGATGTATCACTACGCCGTAATGTAATCGGGTTCAGTAAAAGTGAAATCTATAGCAAAGAATTATATTTATTTATTTGTGCATGTAAGAAAGGATTGGGTGATAAATAAAATAACCTACTCGTCTTTTTTAATACCAAAAAATATAAACACTCGTCGATAAAGTAAAAAAGAAAACTCGGCAGGAGATTCTCTATTTAATTAAACTGTATGATGCAGTTGGCGGGATTTCGTTAATCCTTCACAAGCCAGATCAGCTATGTTGGGAGTGTGGGGGTGTAGGTGATAGATGTCAGGCGGTCGGTCACTTCTCCCGAGCCCACCCTAAAAAATACAAGTATTCGATTGGTTTTTTTTTCACACGTGTTGCAAAAGAAGCTAATTAAAATTTCCCCCATAGCACACTGCATGGCGTATGCCCCCCCCCCCCCCCCCGCTCCATTTCATTTTCTGGAAAATGTTGTTTTTGAATGCTCCTTGCAAAATCCCTTAGCCTTAGTGAAACAGCCCTTTCCTGTTCGATGCTAAGGTGAATGTAAGATTATTTTGTAGAAAGATGAAATGAAATGTTTATAAGATTCGATTTAAGTGATAAAGACCCTCTGTCATATATTTTAGTGATAAAGTCCCTCCATTTTTTTATTTTAGCTAAATCTGCCTATTACAGGTCATTGTTTAGGCCTTAAATATTATATAAATTATTAATTAGATATTTATTAACGCGCCAAGACCAAAATCAGCTTTCGATGCCATCGGATGCTCTAGGATTTAAATGCGATTAGCAGCTAATGATTTAATTAAAAATGGATAATCGAGACTTTGTTTATTCTTACAACAGCGTTCGCAATGGCCATCGTGACTACATTGTTCTGCAATAGACGATAACTCCTCTCAGAATTTGACTGAAATTTTCAATATATTCCCTTTTCATTATCTATTTTGTTTTTAACTATTTTAGAGAGAATTGTCAGCTCTTTATCTAAATGCATCTTTAATTGATTTGTGACAGATAGTTGCCATAACGTTACAACAAAGCTGAAAAAAAGTCTTCCATAACCATAATTATTAACCGCCATCATCGACCTCGCATCGAGTAACTGCCATTGTTTAGAAGCATCGTCTCGCGCAATTTTAACCACTCACGACAAGTATTGTTAGAGAAGAGTCACTCCACAATAAATTCTACCCGCCATTAATAAGCAACTCTTATATAGCCCCACGCTGGGCATAGAAAAAGATTTTCTTCCTTGCTAATTGGTTCGTTTTAGGGCTTATTTTAAAGAAAACCTTAAGTATTTTTCGATTGCGCAAATGTAAACAAACGAAGCAATCATCACCGGGTGTTGTCTTTGGGCAGAATTCATTATTGGAAATCTGATACGCTATCGGGGAATATGATACATGGATTATTGAACTGTTTTATGGAATATTGTGCATACAACAATTATACGCTTCGGATAAATCTATGGCGATTTAGAGGAGATATGTGGACAATACTACCACTGAGGGAATTGTGAATCTGAATCAATCTCCGCGCTGCATTATAAGACAATAAGTATAATAACTAGATTACAAAACCGGCCAGTTATTTGCGCTTTGGGAGATTGTAGATGTATAGACTTGATGAAAAAAATATTGCAATAGAATGCGACCAGTTAAACGTTCGGTCCACATTGATGGCAGTAAGAAAAGCTAACATGGGTTCCACAAAATCTTTTTACTTCTAATGCGCGCAAGTTCAAAATGCCTAATAATAGAATATTTGTGGTGCGCGCAAAGCATGAGTTTAAGACGAAGAAAGAAAATTTGGGAACTGCTTCGAAAGAAAATGTGGGAACAATTTTGGAGCAAAATGTAGAAAAGATTGATGTCTTAGAAGATGCTGCCATTGCCGATGAAATCTCAGATTTAGTTCCGGAATCGGCTTATTTCAAATCCGAGTTCTTCAAGGGACTTTCACCGATTCTGTTCTTGGCTAGAATCTTTGGAATGTTTTTTAAGCGATATAAAGTAAAAGGACAATGGATGACGGAGAAATGGGTTTGGTTCTGTGTTTGCGTTGTTGTAATTCAGCTGTTTAGCTTCGCAAGATCCTGTTCCGTGTTCACATTGCAAGAGGAGTTCAGCGATACTCTATTCTTTAAATTACAAATAGGCCTCTGGGGTATGGAAAACACAGTAAAACTGCTTGCCATGATGTACGCATCTTTCCGTAAAAACTGCTTCCCGGAGTTCTTTCAGACTTGGATGAGGGTTTGCAATGATAAGCCGTTGGATAAACGACTTCTTGTGGTCAGAAAATTGGCTCTGACGCTGTCGTGCAATTTTGTACTTGTAAACACGCTAGGGATGATTACAACAATACTGTTCGTTCCAGACCTAAATGAACTTTATTTGAAGTTATCCTGGCCTGATGCCGATAAGTTGTCAACCGGCTATATGTACAAATGGTTATTTGTATTGTGTTCATTTGTTGGATCCGGCATCTCCATGTTTTCGATTAGTCTTTTGGTGATTCTCAGTTTCGCGATTACAAACGAATTCTATGACGTAGCAAACAAAATTACTACGTACATCAACAAAGATGGTAGTTTTGATGGCGATCTGGAAAAATTGCGACAACGTCATCAAGGCCTGTGTAGATTGACCGAAATATTAGACGAATCGTTTATGGCCATTATTGCTATTGTGTATGTGGCCAATGTACCGATGTCGTGTGTTATCTTATATAACATCATATACCACACACATTCTACTTCACTGAATCTATTTAATATCTTCTGGATGGTGTCTTTAGCCCTTCACATGTCTGTCGTCTCGTTAGTCTGTGCTCGAGTTAATGTGGCGGTAAGTGAAATGAAATGGGGTTTAATGTTCTACTGTTCTGCACTGAACTGGACTAACCAATTACGTGCACGCCAATGTCTACACGGGGTTTCGTTTTTCGTCCCATCCGAACGACTAGAAAGCTGTCATTGTCAGACCCTCTGTCCTGCATCACTGACAATGGGGGGGGGGACCACACCGGGAAATCTGGATGAACTTTCTCGGTCAATGCTCCTGTAAAACATGGCAAACTCAATTTCTCTTATAAACGCCATAGTCTCGATTGTCGAACCAGTGAGAATTAGTGAGAATTGCGACTGGTTGACTGAAAATGTGGACGAATTTGCCCCTGAATTTGATAATCATGACTTTGGACGTTATGAACGTAATACTAAAAGATGCATTATGTAAGATTTAGTTACATTTTTAAATCTCGCGGGTGTTTTAAATCTCCGTCAGCCGATGGTCTAGAGAGTTGATTTTAGACTTGTCATGTGAATACATGTTTAAATAATCGTTTATATAACATTTGAAGACGGAAAAAAGATCTGCATTAGGCAGATTTAGCTTTTAAATACATAATGCATCTTTAGTTTGATGTTATTATTGAAAGAGATGTTCCGCAGTACAGGCGTCTGTGCTTAAAGTAACAAAATGTCATCAATCTATATAATTTATATATGTCATGCATAATCTTTGTATACGTACCGTATCCGAAAACCTCCCTGATGTTCTCAAATAAGCATTTGAAACCCCGATATCATTAAGTACTTGGCAACCCAAATCGCGGGCAAATAATAAAGTCATCGTATTTAAGCTGTTTTCAAATTTCTAAATTTTACAATTAATGTGACTCATTTGCTTGCTACACTTTATTATTTGTTTTTAAAGAGTTTTTCGAGAATCTGTCCGAATTATCATCCTTATTGTTAAAATTCTTATACGTTCTAACTTATGACGCCATCTGGCAGACTATCGACATTCAAACGGCGACTACCATCAAAATCGGTCGCATTATTTCCGTTACGTCTTTCATGCCTGTATCATTACAGGCCCGGTACGGTACAGCCCAGTGGACACTGGCTATTAAAGCCATGTTCAATATCTGCATGCTTACAGTATCCGAAAACCTCTCAAATAAGCAATTACTTGGTACCTCAAATAGCGAAGTAAACAAACCCGAGGTCTTATTTGAAATAAGTTCAAACTGCTAGAATTTCTAAATTGATATGCCCATATATCAATTAATATGACTATTATGTTCAGCTGGGTAAAGATTACGACAATCCCATTTGCAAAAGAAACAACAGAAACTTGATCATCCTGACACTGATGATCTTTTAGATACTTACGGGAAAACAATTACTGATTTACTTAGGCGACGTTTCGAAGAGTATTCTCAACGTTTTCAAGAAACGTGGCCTAAATAAATCAGTAATTGTTCTTTTATAAGTATGTGTTATAGTTTATTCCTGACACTGATCCAAAGATTGAATCGCTATTTGCTCGTAATCATAAGCTTGGTTCCAATCCAGGTCTCGTCACGTGATCAAACGGGATTATCCATATTTTATATTATCGTATTTGTAGTAAAACTGTCATAATTTAACTAACAATCGTTTGTTTCAATATCGTTAGACATGAAATCGATTATATTTAATCCAAATGACCTTAGAACGTATTGTAATTTGTATTAACAAATTATCATAATTACGTAGAATGTTTTATTTTTCTTATTAAAAAGATTGTGAACTGCATTTTAAAGTGAAACACGGCCAACACATTGTCATTCTGCCATTGTAGATTGTTTATCATTTTTTGTTTTAATTGTAACTTCCACCGGACACAAAATAGGTGATTCGCGTATAAGCGGGGAATCCAATCCACGCCACTTGACTCAATTACAGACCTTTCGATTCCACGCGCACATGTTAAACCACTAGACTGCCCAACCTACCATTCCATTGTCCATCCGGTTTGAGGGTTGTAACTTTCTGAAATAAGTTAAATGTTTTCAAGGGCGCTGTTTAAACCTTACCTTGTCATTATTGACATATGGCAGATGTGTTCAGCTGTTTCAATGTTTAATTTAAATTCGTTTAGCTGATTCAATATTTCATGCAAATATGTGTTAATTTATTGAACGCTTCGAACAAGAATTGGTACCATGTGTTCTAAAAGGATTAAGCATATTTTCTCTTATGTATAAGGCCTGTCACTAGCTGATGTAAATCAGGAAAATAATGTACATCTTAATGATGACATTGGGAAATCTAGCCTTACTAGGTTATTGCTCTAGTCTACTAAACTTGCATATTTTATATTGGACATAATTCATACAATAAATTTGTTGTCGATAATCGTCAGACAGATGTATTGGTTCTGTACAAAAGGACAATAAAAAATATTATCGGTGAGCATATCCTGCCTCGTGCAGAACTAGGTAACTAGATCCTGATTTTCGAAGCGGAAGCTTCTTTTCAGAAACAGCCTCTATCACTGGCTATATAGTCATCAGAATCACCGGCCAACTGTTTTATCGAACATGAACCGGCGAAGCTTAACCTTGTTTTGCACATAATCATGTAATGTCATTCCTGTCCTGCGTTAAACATTGTTTATTTCGTTTGATAACATGACGTGTTTATTGGTGCCGTTTTCGGTTCAGATATTGTAATTGTAATGGATAATATTATTTAATTGTATTTTTTATAGGCTCACAAACCACTGGATGAGCTGTATAATATATCAGCTGACAGTTTGAACAATCAACAAATACAGGTATGTTCTATTTGTAGCGGAAACGAAATGGGGTTTAACTTTCTATTGTCTTCCCGTGTACACATTGGCGTGTACGTAAAAGATCCCTTGACAGTTGGAATTGGATATAAGAGTAGGCCGCAGTGCCGCTGTCCGGGCAAAATCTCCCTTATAGCAAATGAAATGAAATGGGGTTTAACGTCCTACTGTTCTGCTCCTGGACTCCCAGCCGGGATATCCTTGTTCCAATCCCGGTGTGGATCGACAAGAACTATCCTGATTTTTACTCCACCATCACTCCTCCCTGTTCAATCCACGGACTCTTTCTTGTTAAACCACTACCACTCCTCTTTGTTCAATCCACGGCCTCTCCCTGGTTAAACAACTACTACCCTATCTGTTCAATCTACGGCCTCTTTCTGGTTAAACCACCATCACCACGTGTTCAACAGGTCCACACTACCACTACCAATAACTCCCTTTGTTTAACACCTCTATGTTCAATCAGGAACCTCTGTTTACACTCAACCTTCTCTGTTCAAACGTGTATGTTTAAAAAGTATCTGTTTCATGTCCGTTCAATCAACAACCACCGGTGCAATCCACAAGCATTCGGTTCGGTTCAAAACTACTCTGTTCAATCCACAACCTGTCTATTCAATATACAACTTCTATAAATAGATCACAGTTCGATGAAATACAATTATTGCTTATAACTAGGCTTCTCTAGTCATTTTTCCGACCAGTTTTCTCTAGTTGATAATGACTAGAGAAGTCTAGTCGAAACGTCGTGACTAGGCTTCCCTAGTCATTATTTCGACCTGGCTTCTCTACTTCATAATGACTAGAGAAGCGCAGTCGAAACGTCGCCCAGTAATAAGCAGTAATTGTATTTCATAGAATTGTAACCTGTTTATGCCATTGAAACAATTTACAACCACATCCCGGTGGACAGATGATGCAGACAGCGACCCAACTGTGTGCTAGCTATTAAATGAATTTGGTCGATCTCATTTTTGTTAAATGAATGCAAATCGTATCTAACACATTTATTTTGATTTACAAATTGACTATTACAACCTTTGCCCTGGGCACTGAACACACTACGCCACCATAGACCCAATAAAATAAACTGACCCACTTATTGACCACATACTGTCACTCTTCCGGATATTTTCTAAAGTATCTAATTTGCGTTGATCGTTTTTGAATTTAAGATCTGTCGTGCCAGAAGCCAACCACAAACTCTTTGTAAGATACTGACTACCCTGTCATAGGCCCAAAAATACAAACGGACCCACTTTTGGAGAACACTGCCAGAAAAAATAAAGCGTTGACATACTTTCACTTGTCCGATTGTTATCTAGATTATTTAATTTGGGTCAATTGCTGTTGGGTTTGATATCTATCGGGTTAAATTGTTGTCAATTTGCTAAAGAGCTGGTGTAAATTGTTGTTGGGTACGAACTGTCTTGTGATCAATCGTTACTCGGATCAATTTGCTGAAGAGCAGCTGTTAATTGTTGTTTGGTACGAACTGTCTGGAGATGAATCGTTACTCGGATCAATTTGTTGACGAGCCGCTGAAACGGAGATAATGATTGTTTATCAATCTAAAGAACAATAGAATGAGAAGGTATCAATACTACTAACCTAGTTGATACGCTGTATGGACAAATATTGACACCAATTTGTGAGAACGCTCCATCTGTCACATTGTTTACACGAGGATATAGTAACCAAGGCCGCGACATGATAATCGTATTAATCGTGTTGTAGAATTAATAATTGGTTAAATTATTTTGGAAAATATAAAAATTGAAAGTTTACAAATATTTGATTACGTTCTGGAAATTCAACTATTCATTAAAATTCTGATAATATGTCATTATCATCCAATAATGATCATTAATTGTTGTTACCAGTGGTGTTTTGTCGCGGCATCACAATTAGACATTCCACTAGCATTTTCTCAATCTGATTAAAACACAGATCCTATTTCGTTTCGTTTTTTTTATAGTTCAAAATTTCGTTTTACTTGTCTTTACTACACTAGGATGTGGAGGAATTGTTATATAACCCGCATTCTGGAAGATGTGAGGGATTCGCCAATGAAACGGTCTGTTGCGGCGAGTGGGTAACCTGCTAGAAACATCAATGCTGATTGGTTAATCAAACGTATGACGTCATAGGGTCTAACGCCGTTATGACCTCTGACGCGACCTTCCACTACAACCGGTCAGATCTTCATGTAGTGTAGGCCATCGAAAGTATATAAAGAGAACGAAACGAAATATAGATCTGGGCACTTATTCACGAAAACTTAAACTAAGATACAATCGAAATTTTAAGAAATACTGCAATTCTATTGGCAGACCAGTAAAATCAATTTGCATATATCCAATGAAGTTGCAGTATTTCTTAAAATTTCGGTTGTAACTTAGTTTAAGTTTTCGTGAATAAGGGCCCAGTATTTTAATTAGATTGAATATTCTCTGTGTTCGCATATTTTGGGGGTTTTGAACGGCGGTGTACAGTGGGTGCTGGTGGCTAATCGTTCTTTGTAAAGCAGTAGATCCCACCAATATTTTATTTTGTAGTTTCGATTATTGAATATGGGCTATAAAAGATTACCCACCAACGTCTGTTCATGTATTGCAAAACTGATAGTAAGTGCTGCTTTCTAGATTATATCCTAATGATTTTAGCTTGCATACCAATTTAGCGTGTGACAGTCTTACATATTCAACTTTAATTAACCGTAAAATATTTTTCTAGGTCCATGACGCGGACATTTAACAATTTGAAACGAAACCACGTCTAGAATTGTTAACCATCTCGAATTATAAATCACTTAGAAATATAATTCATCTAGATATACTATTCAAAAAAAGTAGGGGATATTTGATTTTTAAGTGTTATTAAAGTCACCTAATGAAACTGACGAAGAAACAAATGACAAAATGAAATGAAGTTCACATTCATCGATTTATTCCAAATGATCGTTAGACTAATTGTTAACCATCTCGAATTATAAATCACTTATAAATATAATTCATCTAGATATACTATTCAAAAAAAGTAGGGGATACCCGGGGTCAAACAGCAAAGTTACCACAGCATCACAACCAAGTCAGTAACGGGTAAATCCTCCTCTGTTTGCCAAACAAGCATTGATCCGACGTGGCATACTCCTAATGAGACGTCTAAGGTCATTTTGGTCCAGATTGTCCCATTCCTGTTGCAACGCAGCAGCAAGTTCTTGGACATTGGCAGGACGTTGTTGACGTTGACGTAACCTCTGTCCAAGCATGTCCCAGACATGCTCGATGGGGGAGAGGTCGGGATCAGTGCTGGCCAAGGTAATGTGGTGATGTTCTGTTGTTGGAGGTAACCTGTAACGATCCTGGCCCTGTGACATCTTGCGTTGTCATTCTGGAAGATGAAACGGCGGCCATGACGTCGTGCGAACGGCACAACATGGACTGCCAAGATGTTGTCCCGGTAGTACTGGCCTGTAACACGCCCTGCAACAACATGTAAAGCCGTTCTTCCAGCAACAGTGATGCCTACCCACACCATAACAGAACCACCCCCAAATCGATCATGTCTGATGACGTTAACGTCTTGGAAGCGCTCGTTTCGACGACGCCACACCCTCCTACGTCTGTCCATAAAATCAACAGTGAACCTTGTCTCATCTGAAAACATCACATTGCTCCAGCGTCGATTATCCCAGTGTTGACGATCCCTACACCAACGACGTCTTGCCTGAATGTGATGATCTCTCAAACAAGGGATCACGCGAGGACGTCGGGCGCGAAGTTGACCCCTATACAGTCGATTCCGAATCGTCTGGCCACTCACTCTCACACCAGTGTCTGTTTGAAGACGAGCGCTGATCTGATTTGCTGTGATGACACGATTTCTCAAGGCCAAGGTACGGATAAATCGATCCTGGGCTTGAGTTGTCGACCTGAGCGTGGTCTGTCCTGTACAGATTGTGTATCACGGTATCTGGACCATAGCCTGCTTATGACAGACTGAGAAACATTCATCGTCCGCGCCACAACCGCCTGTGTTGTGCCGATCTGTAGCATGCCAAGGGCACGTAACCTTTCATTTTGGGTAAGCTGACGCATATCAAAATTTGTTTTCTGGTCACTAAAACAATTAAACTGATGTTTCCACCCTGGAATTCAATGCCACAATGACTGCAAATCTTGGGTTGGACCCCCATGATGATCCCAAGCATCACCTGCATTCCATGCGGTAGCTATTGGGGCGTTTGGGCGTCACATGTAACTGGAAATGTTTTCGTAGTCATTTGCATATTTTAGTATTATGCCCCCAAAATCAAATATCCCCTACTTTTTTTGAATAGTATATATAAATATACATCATCTGGAATTATAAACTGTCTTGAACCATAAAATCATCTGAATTATAAATCATGTCGAATCATCTGGAATTATAAGTAATCTGCAATTTTAAATCATCTGGAATTATAAATCATCTCGAATTATCAGTCATCTCGAATCATCTGGAATTATAAATCATCTGGAATTATAAATCATCTCGAATTATCAGTCATCTCGAATTATAAATAATCTGGAATTATAAATCATCTCGAATCATCTGGAATTATAATAAATCATCTGGAATTATAATAAAAGCATCTCGATTTATAAAGCATATGGATTATTATGAGATTCGTGTTGTTTGGCTTGATATTCACTCGGTGCTTCGTCAGGATCCATGATTAAGAATTAAATTGTACTCTATTTTAACATCCCGACATTAAACATACTTTAAATTATAGTAATGGGTTATTGGATTGTCGTGATCTGGGATAAAAGTTTAATGATATTTAGAATGAATCAAGGTTTGATCACACTGCTGATATTAAATCAACCGTACCATCATACATGATTCTGGTTTTAAAACGTTTTTATATTGAATGAATAGGTTGAATAGCTATACAGTTGACATGATTTTTTATCATTTGTCAGATTTATCGATGTATTATGTAAGAAATGAAATGAAATGATATGAGATGAAATGGGGTTTAACGTCTTACTGTTCTGCTCCGACTGGGTTAAACGGGCATACGCCATACAATGTGTTATGGCGGAATTTTTCCCGGATAGCGGCAGTACGGCCTACTCCCATTTCGAATTCGTTCAAGGGATTGAGTCCAAGATCTGGTACGTGCCGATACATTTCGATGCGGCCAACACGATTGCTACGGCTTACCGCAATATATGATAAGCCCTGACAGGATCATCACGATTACTCCACGATTAAAACCACGATTTCAATCGCAGCGCGAATCGTGATAGTGGGAACCTGCATTATATTGACGTCTTCACGAAGACTGCCGAATGACGAACTGGAAATCGGTAATACGGTTATCAACGGTAATCGAAATTTTTAGGTTATTTCTTGTCGAAACTTCAAACATTCATAACATCGCCAGAATAAAGTAATTTGACTGAAAATTTCTATATTTTCATTTTTCTTTATCTAATTTTAAACTATTATAGCAGGAACCGCCATCTTACACAGTTCCTCTTTAAAATAGCCTTCCACTAAAAATCATGTTATACCACTGGTGGCATGTTAAAAACAGTTGGATATGTAAATAAAGTCGTAGGCCACAGAGCCATTGTCCGGGGAAACAAATTTCTCAGCCGTAGGTCACAGAGCCATTTTCCGGGGAAACAAATTTCTCATAGTAAACAACATGGCACATTAATCTAGTTGGTGCAGAATCGGACATCATATAAGTTTTGATGTAGTTACCACCCTCCCTCTGTTTTCCCCATGTCTGCCTGTCTGTCTGACCCCCATCTTTCTCTCTCTCTCTCTGTAAAACAAGCGGGGTATGATGGCTGAATGGTTAGCGTGCGCGCGCTGTTTATAAAGTCTGTCATTGGGTCGAGTGGCGTGGTTTCGAATCTCGGGTTGTACGTGACAAGGAGTAGTGTCGCCTGTCCAACCTCGTGGGTTTTCTGCGGGTCCTCCGATTTCCCCCCTCTGCTAAAGACCCCTATGCGCAAGCGAATTATTGAAATAAAATTAAACCATATGTTAGTCTCGAAATGACCTAGTTTGTGTCGAGTGGACGTTAAGCCCCATTTCTCTCTCTCACTCTCTCCCTCTCTCTGTAAAACAATGATATATGGTATAATTAAATAATTAAATCAATACTTGCTATTTATGTAAAATCAACGAAGCCTGACCGAATACAACTCACAATATGGTATTTTCAACATGGTGTTGAAAAACATGATTTGGATATTATTTACCTAATGAATCGTTTCAGTTGATGATGTTTATGAATCGTCTAGCCGGAGGTGAGGTTGGATTAACCGCTATTAAAATGTTTGTGATCAACAGACCTACCATTTTAACGGTAAGTCAGTACACGCATGTCGTCTACGCTCGGTAAATCTCCAGTACGCATGTCTTCTAAACGACATTGGGGATTCTAGAAGCACAGTGAGTGGGTCTGAGAAGACATTCTTTTTAGAAAAAAAATGATTATTTTTCTATGTGCAATATCTTGTGGAACTCTCATAGTGAAAAACACCACAGGTCAAAAATTACATATCATATTACACTCCAAAGACTAAATTTTAATATATTTTTTTAATCAATATTATTTGGAAGTCTTGTGGGAGAAAAGTCAACACAAAAACCCCCAAGCCTTGCCAAAAATGCGAGAAGGGGTAATATGTTTCTTTTTAGCACTTTTTTATTTGTGGTACTTTTGTATACAACAGTCCTCGTGGATTGGCTTAGATTATAATAATATATATATATATATTTTTATGTCTACGAGATAATGTCAGGGCAAAGCAATTTTTATTACACACATTTCCTACCAAATAGGCAACATTCCTAGAAAATGTGTTTAAAGGTATCTTTTCGATGTTTGCCAAATAATTATTCGACAGTTTGGATTATATTTGAAAGCGGCCCGTGTAGTTTATTTTATATCTATCTATGTAAATTTAGCTTCAATGTTAAAAACACACAGGACATATTAGTGCAGTCTCTTAACGCTATTGTTTTACTCAGCATGTTAGCAAAAAACTCTGAAAAGAACTTCCGCTTGTGTCGTAGAAGTATTTAAGAGAAAATCAATTCGATTGGAAATCTTTATTACATCTTTTGCAATATTATTGAAGTGCTTTGGCAAAATTATTAGTGTGAAACTAGAGTTAAAATAACGCCATAGGCTAACAGCTGGAGAGAAAATAGAAACTGAACAATTCAAACAAAAGAACTCTTGTAGATGATTTAACCCTTTAAGTGTTGACTTATCTGGATTATCGCCCTTTTTATTGTTGGTGAAATGAAATGAAATGGGGTTTAACGTCCTACTGTTCTGCTGCGAACTGGGCTTATGGAGACGAGCTTACGCCATACAGTGTGCTATGAGTGAAATTTTTCCCAGACAGCGGCACTACGGCCTACTCATATCGAATTCCAACTGTCAAGGGATCTTTTACGTTCACGCCAATGTGTACTGCATCACTGACAAGGTATAATTACATTTTGACTTATAACGTCAAGTGCCTTTACCTAACTTCATTCAGCAGACGACCGCTGTCTAAGGCTAGTCGCATTTTTTCCGATTGCTTTGTATTCGGTTTAGCCCTGTTTTATATAAATAAAGAGTGTAATGAATACACGTATTTTTCATGACTACATATTAGCCATTTAATTTATACTTGGCTTTCTACTAAATTGCACGTATTTTTCTTCTTGGCTTCTTTACATTGGTTACCTGCTGAGGCGCGAGTCAAATACAAAATACTAACATTAGTGTATAAATGTCGCAATAATGCAGCTCCTCAATACTTATCTGAACTCTTATATGACTACAACCCTATTAGATCACTTCGCTCTCAAAATAAACAGTCACTAGTTGTTCCAAGATATAATTTGAAGTCATATGGGTATAGGTCTTTCAGTTCAGCTGGTCCTAGATTATGGAACGAACTTCCACAACAGATCAAGAATCAACAAACTTTTAATCAATTTAAATCCGCACTAAAGACTTTCCTGTTTCAACAGTTTTACCAGTAGAGCCATTACAAAAAGCGTTTTGAGCATGTGTCAACATGGAGAAGACGCTATATAAAACTTCATTATTATTATTATTATTATTACTATTATTGCATGTAGCATATAGCCGATCATGACTCACGCTAGTATTAGTATTATCCAACGTTTTGGAAATATTCCCCCCATTGTTAGTTCATTTTGAGTGAAGTCTGTATCACTACAGTTCCGGGACTGCACAGTGCCGTGAACGCTTACGGTTAGCACCCGAATCCATTCACTGATATCTGATATGTACGTTTGCTGCTTGTGATGTCTGTAATTGGCGTCTTGTCCGTCGGTTTGTTTTGTATATTTATTTGAGTGTGGTGCAGTCACCCTACTCTTACTATTACGTTAACAACTCAGTAGTTTGATGGTTTCTGTCTCTCAAAATCAGTTCAGTAAGAATCCAATTTTTTCTTTCGATTCATTTTGAAGCAGCATACTAGGCCGGATTAACTTTGTGGGGGCCAGAACAAGTCAATGTAGGGGGGGGGGGGGGCGAATTAACGTCTATTGAGTAAGAGGCTGATCCTTGGTTCGATCTCGACATAGGTCGGGAAATTTATTCGGGAAATTCAAGCGTGGTTCTCCTTGACACTGATGCAGGACGAAGGGTCGGGCAAGGACAGTGTCGAGTCTTTCGAATATGACGAATACTGAAAGCCCCGTATACACATTAGTGTGTACGTATAAAAGAACCCTTGACGGATGGAATTTAAAAAACAAGTAATCTGGTCATGGCACACTGCATGGCATATGGACGTCCTCGTTAGCCCAGTTGTGTAGCAAAGTAGGGCGATATACCCCATCTTATTTTATTACCCCTGCACTGTCCTTTAAAAAAATAAATACATTTTCGTTAATATAAATTATCTTTTTAAAAACCACACCTTTCAATGTTTTTCAGGTAATTGGAATGTTGATAACATATTTTGTGTTATTAGTACAGTTTAAAACACCAGCTGTAGCCGTTTGTAACTGTGGTAACAATATTACAAGTTCCTAAACACCACGTGGTACCTTAACCTTTAAACTTTATTTCATAGACGGATTATTTTAAAGGATTTGATTTAATTTCAGTCAAAATAAATACTGATGATTTGGATTGAGCTCATATGTTGTGTTAATTAGTGATAGGGGCAGGCTCTTTATGAACGAATTAATGAAATGGCCTTAACGTACTACTTGCTCCGACTAGGCTATATATGTTACAGTCAATGTCTACAGTCAGGCAATGTGTACAATGCCTTTGTAACCCTAACCCTAACCCCCCACCCCAACACCTACCCTAACCCGGCAATGTACACATTGACTGGTGTATTTCAGGCATTGTACACTTTGCCTCATTGTAGACATTGACTGTCACATATATAAAGAAGACGGTCATACGCCATACTGTGTCATATGAGGGAAATGAAATGAACTGGGGTTTAACGTTCTACTGTTCAGCTTCGGATGGGCTAATGTAGACAGACAGCGGCTCTACGACGTACTCTTATATCGAATCCCAAATGACCCACAGCCCTGACAAGGGGGGGGGGGGCACACCGGAAATTCCCGAAGAACTTCCTCGGCTAACATCGGAATCGGATACGGTACATCCGGGTAATTTAAAGATGCATTATGCAAGTTTCGATAAAGAGCTGACAGTTCACGGTATACTAGTGACAATCTGTAGAGTTGTTCAACGTTGTGGGGTTTTCTCCAGGTCCTCTGAAGACCTCTACACGCAAACAAATTATGGAAATAAAATTTAGCCTAGATGTTACTTCGGAAACGACATTGTTTGTGATAAGTGACGTTAATGATGCATTATGCAAGTTTCTATAAAGAGCTGACTGTTAAAATAGATAATAAAAAGGGAATATATTGAAAATTTCAGTTGCTCAGCGAAGTTATGGCCGTTTGAGGGGTGGACTGGGGTATCCGGTGCCGGGGAATGTTTAGATCCGTGGAACATGCCGATTTGTAGCTGATACGGACCACTACTTGAGCATTACCATCATAGTTATAGTGTTGGAAACCATGCGATTGGTTCCCAAAGCCCCCCCCCCCTCCCAAACGATTGTCGCGTGGTTTGGAAGCAGATGATTAGAATGGCCAAAGGTTTAAACCCTTTAAACCTCACTTTTAATCCTGGATGTCAGTTTTCGTGTCCAGTCTGACTGGCGGCTGACATGTTCTGTAACGATAACGCAAGAGATAATTTACCTTCTCACACATCAGGACGTAAATATGTAAAATTTAGGCCTGAGTTCTAGTGCGTACGGTCGGGGTGAGTGTAGAGTTGGGGCGAGCGATAATGTGTCCCGGGAGAGTACCTGCCAAAGAAGTTGGACATGCGACCCTACTCCTTGTCACATGGAAGCGGGAATTCGAAGCCACACAACTTGACTCAATGAGAGATCGCGTTAAACCACTAGATACTCGCCCTCCCTTTGAGACCATACAATCCAGCAGTTGATCACCAAACCTATGCACTGACTGAGGGGCATTCGCTATCTAAATGTTACGTAAAATTGGGAATAGAAACCAAGCCACTTGACTCAATGTTAACTCCCACCCCCATCCCATCATATACAAGTAATCATGGTCATAACTGGATTTGGGTCCATTAAAACATTCGTTTGTCTTGCCGAGGGGGTCACTGAGTCAAGTCACATGCGCTAGATCCAAGCTTGTGCGTACAGTGGCCTGCCGAAGCTCGTGGGTTTTCTATCGGTCTGCCGGTTTTCTTCCATTGTGCAAGCCAATTATTGAAAAAAAATGCACCAAATGTTAGTTACGAATGACCTAGTTTGTGTCGAGTAGACTTTAAACTACGTTTATAGCTCTGAACAAGTGATTTGTTCCTATTCGCACAAATCACATGAGAAAACCAACTCTGCTAAAGTGAAATAAGATATTTATTGCATACAGCTTCAGCGTTTTGGACGGATTCATATAAAGGGCACAGGTGACATACATAACCTTGTTTCATTATATATTGGGGGTGGGGGAGTGAAGGTCGGGCCCACAGCCTATTTCTCGTGAACTTAAATATATCAAAGGTATCGAGCACGAGTCATTATAGTTATGCTTTACGAAACACCAGTTACTAACAGTTCAAACTACTATAATATGTGATTTTTTCTTGGATTTAGAAATTCTTAAAGATGCATTATGTAAGATCTGGATTTGGATAATGCGCTGTCAGCTATTTCTATATACAAAAATTAATATATTGAAAATTTCAGTCAAATTACGTTATTCTGGCCGCAGTCATGAGTGTTTGACAAGAAAAAGTGTAAATAGTCCCCAATGTCAACTACCATTTCTACGAAAATAAACGGATTTAAATTTTTGAATTTCGAAATTTCGAAATTCCGAATTCCTTATCTTTAACATAAGACCAATAACGTATTTGAACTATAAGGGATTTAAATTTTTGAATTTCTAAATTTTGAATTCTTTATCTGTGACTACGTATGGTCAAACTACCAATAACGGATTTGAACACCTATGGCGAATTTAAATGTTTGGATTTCTAAATTTTGAATTCTTTATCCTTAAGAAATAGGCAAGGACGTTGCTAATAAACAATATACACTATTTCAAACGACTAAGGAGTAAATTATTTGGTGCATAGGTAACATCAAACGACTGGGGTATGTCTTGGCATATAATGGTAACATCAAACGACTGGGGTATATCATGGTGTATAGGGTAACAATAATAATATCTATACAATATAATAATAATAATTTACATCATATCAATAACAAAGTTAATATCTACACTTTCAGTCAGTTTATAGTATAACAATTTAACAATCCTTTAGGGTATTGCTATAAAAGGGGTTCCCTTCTTATCACTTGTAATAACTAAGACCGGTTCCCTGTTAATCATTTGCAATAACCAAAAGAGTGGTAATTGGGGTGTGAAGAGTGCTGGGGCATTACATTACTTTGCCAGAACAATGAATTTTGGGGGTATTTTATTTCAAGAAAACTTAACTTATAAATGTTTTGCTCCACCCCCAATACCAGAAATCCAGACTAAGTCAACTGTTCATAATTAGTAACAACAGGTGCCAAGATACGCTTTACGTAAGGATGCCCCTTTTTGATTGGGCAAGAGCTGAAATATGTTAACATCCAACCAATGATAACGCTACATACATGTAAATAAAATATTTTACTTCAAGATTTTGTAATAACGGTTTAGCTACATCGATTTGAACATAATCTGTAACTTTATTCGTGATGATGCTGGTAGTTCTACAAGAGTTCGGAAGAGGGCATCCTCGTAAAACCATGTATAACCGTTTGATGTTGCGATTGACATGTACCAAAATCTTGTTTGGGTGCAAAGAACCGGTCTTGATTATATACGATATTTGGCAGTAAAACGGTAAAACAGCTAACTTAAATAATTCAAACAGATTGGAAAATAAAACAAAGCAGTAACAAAAAATGAGATGAAAAACCAACAAAAACATTCATAACATATTTATAAATCCCATCGGGTTTAATCTGAGACGATAAAATCAAGATATAGGATGGGGAATAACTCTTAATCAACGGTGTGCAAAGGTTTGATGACCAACACCTTGATTCTAGGCCTCCAAGATTTAAGTATATAGTTACGTTCTCAGAAACGTGCGACGGGCAGACATTTTAAGTATGCCAAAAATGAAATAGACTTTTTTTTATTCAAATTAAATCGATCAGCTCCCCACCCACCCCTCTGCACACCACGATACTCGATGCTGGTTAAATTTAGGACAGGGTGGAGAATATCTATCGAAAAAACATTAAGAATCTGATGGAGGGGTGGCATTTCATTTATTATTTCATTTATCATTTATACTCCCAAGTTATCAGATACCGCCTAAAGGTACTTTTAATTATTAGTTTGCATGTTAATAGACGTGGGCCATAAGTTTATCCATAATACAAATACACATAAACTGTAAACGTTTTAGCCATAATACAAATACACATAAACTGTACACGTGTCAATATGCACATATACAAATTCCGTAAACTCTATAACAATTGAAGAATTCGTCAGTTTCTTCATTTTCGTATTTTCGAATCCAAATAGTAACAAAAATTTATGTTATTGATAGACACACTGCATGGCAAAAACACTGAATTAACGATGTCAGTCGAAGGGCGACAACTCAATATGAGTTCATGACTTGATTCGATTTCCAAGGGGAGAATTTCATCGGTCCTTTAGGTCGAAGTCGATCAATATCCTGACCACCACATCTAAAATAAACAAATATAATATATATATCATAAAATGAGATTACGTACCTATACGTTCAAGTAAATGTACACTCCTGCGCTCTTCCAGCTGAGCTATGCCCCCAAATCAAAATTACTCCTTAGTTAAAGAGCATTATGTATGAACAAAACCTGTCTATAGCAGGTTTTTATTCTGGCTTCAAATGTTATATAAATTATTATATATGTAGACATTTATTTATACGATAAGCCTATAACCAGGGGGGGGGGGGGGGGTTGGATGGCTGAATGGTTAGCGTGCGCGCGCTGTATCAAAAAGTCTGTCATTGAGTCGACTGGCGTGGTTTCAAATCCCCGGTTGTACGTGACAAGGAGTAGGGTCGCCTGTCAAATAAAAAAATAAAAAATGGGCCGTGCGTTTCTTTTTTTTTTTGAAGAGTATATATACTTGTATTATATGGTTTATTACTAACACGGGGGGGGGGGGGGGGTGGATGGCCGAATGGTTAGCACGTGCGTGCTGTATCATACGGCCTGTCATTGAGTCAACTGGCATGGTTTCGAATTACTGGTTGTACGTGACAAGGAGCAGGGTCGCCTGTCCGACCTCGTGGGTTTTCTCCGGGTCCTCCGGTTTCCTCCCACTGCTAAAGACCCCTATGCACAAGCGAATTATTGAAATAAA